CATAAAATGTAGCGAATATCAACAATGAAACTTTCTCTTATCCTATCTATTACTATATCCTAGAATTCTCCATCCAAAATTATACCATCACACAGAGCAATTAATTCGAAATCGCATTCAACATTTTCACCTATACACAGATATCCTCACACGAAGGAATGTTCTCCTCCATGTTTGCACATACAATACACACGTGTAGCTGCAGAGGAAATGAAAGTTTCGATTTTGGATCCGAAGTTCGTGACGATCGGAGATATCGTTTCGGCTGTTTCTGCGTGAAATAGAGCCTCTCTTTCCGAGTCAGAATCAGTATTTCGATGGTTGAAATTCAGGTAATATGGCGGAAGACCGAAAGGAAAAACACCGAAATCAAATTACGAAAAATAAAATCTCGAAAAGAAGAATCTCGAAAAGATAAAATCTCGAAAAACCTACTGATATAGAAATCAAAATCTCGAAAGGATAAATCTCGAAAAAGAAAAAGATCGAAAGGAAATATTTCGAAAAGACAAAATATCGAATGAAAATATCGGTATCAATTGCTAGAACTTCAAAATTTGCTGTTTTTGAAATGAGCGGAATTTGGGAAATCATAAGTTGACAGAGTTTGAAATATAAGTGCATTTTTATTCGTAAGAGTCAGAAATTAAAAAATGATAAGGACACAAGTAAAAGAAGAACATATCACTTTTTAACTCCTACCAGGAGAGATAAGCCATCGAGAAGATCGCTCAAATTGATTTGATTGTGTTCAAATAATGAACTTAAAGTGTCGATTCGAGCTTGAAGATTGATCGTCTTTTTGTCCCTCTTCTTTTCTTCGCCGGTAAGCATCTTCAGAACTTGCTGTTCAAAAAGGACTTCCTCACGCTTAAAGCAGTCGAGGGTATGCCATACATTCGGATGATATTTCGCGACGCAACGGTTGAAGCGATGGTTCCAGCCTATAATTATCTTGTTGAAAATGATCAAGATAAGACAAGCGAACTTACCCTCCACCATATTGTTTGTCCGAATATTGAGATCGGAAACATGCCACATACTGATTTTCATTTTAGTCATCCAATACCCACGGAAGTAGCGGATGAGAGTACAACGAGGATCGGGCGCAGTTTGTACGACTTCTTCAAAGGCTCGTTCGATTTTATTCAATGGTACAAGTGGCAGAGCCATGAGTTTTCGAGCGTTTGAACGAATATTTATATCATCACGATAAAGATTTGATAAGCCGAGGGACTGAACTTGTCGATGAATTGATTGGACAAAGTGATAGTAGCAACCAATATGACGTGCATTGGGGAACTATCGAACAGGAAATTATCAATTGTAAGGGCGACATATCAGTGCTTACCTCATCAGCAACAGCACTGATCATTGCTGGTTCAAAGTCTGTTGTGATTTGTGATGGAGAAAAATGCAATCCGAGGCGATTGGCATGTTGAGTAAGGATCATGAAAAGATCTTTGTAGATCGCTGCGAATCGACCAGTTAGAAGTGCCAGAACACAGAGAAAGTCTACCGGAAATTTGATTAAGTAAAAGTTTAGAGAATTGATATGCAGAACTTACTTTGCCCATTTCGAATTCCATGAATTGAGTAAATTTGATCAAAATGAGGAGGACATGAATCAAACGTACCATCCATTAATATATGAGAACAATCGAAAAGGAGTCGGAGCTGTTCGTCAGTCGCATACAATACCATCCGCTGACCGATTTCACCATTGACACGCTGAATGCGATCGGCAAGTAGAAACCTTTCACCATTAGATGTTTCTTTGTAAATCGATGGAATGTCAAAGTTCATTGATAATGGAAGAGTCGGCGTTATTTGTCGTCGAGTACGGTTAAGACCAGAGTCTAAAAGAGAAGTCTCTAGTTTACCACATACAGAAAAATGATTCATGTTTACTGGCTACTCTCGCTGTGTGAGCATTCGCGAGAGCACCTCTCGATAAATTTGTTCGACTCAGTTCTTCGTTATAAATTTGACCGATGGCTGTTGTTTCTTTTGTCACTCGCTCTTTAACTTTTGTCATCAATTGACGAATTTCGCGTCGTTCGGGAATGGCCAAATGGGTGTGACTATTTGCCGTATGCTTGACAAATTCATCATTCAAATTAAGGTGTATACCAGTCCAACACATCTTCTCTTCGCAAACCCAGTAATTCACTTTTGCAGTTGACTTATTGAGATTATAGATATAACCATTGACAACGAGTAAACGTTTTTTCTTGTTGCTGGTAATAAATGAAATTAGTGGAATATTTGAACCACAACCAAGTTGCACCATTTGACCAGACGACTGAAACCGAAGAAATGAATGAATGAAAAATTGTTGCCGGCGGGAGAAGGAGATTAGGGATGACTAAAGAAAAACAAATATTGTGCAGCGGACTGAAGAACCGACGAAGAAATCATAACGAGAATGTGTATAGAGACGAGCTTTATGTGAATAGAGGGAGAACAGATATAAAAATGAAACCGACTACTATAATTCATTTAAACAGATTGTTGTCAGTAAAGTGGAGGGACATCTACCAGCGATCAATTTAGAACTCGTATATATTAATACAAGTCTCGTACAAGACTAAATAGTTGGCAAATCTATTCTTCTCTCTTCGGTTATTTTTGAAGTTTGAATATTCTAATTTTTTCGAAATTTTTGTCTATCGAGATTTTTATATTTCGGTATGTTGGCCTTCGAGATTTTATTTTTGTCGAGATTTTTTTCGAAATTTTTGTCTTTCGAGATTTTGCGTTTCGAAATTTATTTTTTCGAGATTTTCCTTTCGGTGTTTTGCATTTCGGTCTTCGGACAGCAATTCGAAATTCATATTGCGAGAGGGAGAAATGCTCTCCTTCACGTTCGCAATTTTTTTTGAAATAGAAATTGTGTTTCGCAGTGACAAGGGAGATGTGATGCCCAGAAATTATGTTGTCAGACGGAGAAAGGCTCACGGGTATGTTGTTAGGTTTGGTTGACATCGGTATATGTGCAGGGGAGGTGAGAATTTGATGGCAAAGTCGAATTTTGTTCTTTGTTGGAAGGATTGAAGTGGAAGGTTTTTATATATAAGGGGAATGTAGTTTGGATATTGAGCCTCATGATTTTGGCTATTACATGGTTTGTGAAGTGAAAGAAGCTTCATTTCAACGTTGAATAAGAATTTGCTGTGCTGATGGAATCGGGTAGCGGGGTACTGGGAGGATCGGTGTTTTTACTCTGTGGATAGGAATGAAGATTTAATTTTGATGGCGTATATGTAGGAATCTGCTTGTGGGTTGTCGAATTACATTCACTTTGAGATTCGAAGAAGTTTTGGTTTTTTCCTAATAATCTTGAGGGTAATTTTTGGATGCAGTAGTCTTTGTCTAAGGTGGTGTGGTAGAAGCGATGAGTGACCGTTTCGTTCCATGCGAATCAGAATCTGCGCTATTTCTCATGCATTTGTGTGAGATGGTGGCCGGCATAGTGGGCAGTGTTTGTATAGGACAGGGTTTTTCTTTTATATACAGGTATTACTCATTCCGACTGTTGAGCGATTGGAAATGCGGCGACCTGCGGCTGTGATACGGAATGGTCTTAAAGAGCTCTCTGAGCGATAGTTGAGATTTTGTTTGAAGCAGCAATTCTGGTGCAGGTATATAGGCGTTTTCAGTATATGCCATTAGCATGGGTATCCGATGACAAATACGAAATATCTATGGCGAGCGTATGACATACGGAGAAATTCTACTGGGTAGAAAAAGCAACGTGCTCAAAATTTTGACATTTGCGGTCCTTATGTTTTCGGTTTTCCATTGCACAATACGATTGCTTCCGTTGCAGTTTTGTACGCAAAGTCGTTACTGAATCTGATTTCTGCAATAGGAGTTCGATTAATGTTCTTTTACTCTGATATTTATTCTCCATTCCAGTCGTTCATTTATAGACTTCATTGCCACTTTCACACGTCAGCCTATAGATTATATCTTCTCATTCACCCTTCCTTTCACTCTAATCCACCATCGAGGTTGATCTCAATCTTTTCAAAGCCTGCATCGCTACTGATTGACTCCATCGATTCCCTGTAACCACTGCAACACCCATAAATGTATACCACGCGTAGAGTGTTCTCTGCGAGCGCTCAGACGGCTTTCGGCCACCTTCGCTATCACAGTTAACCTCGATGCTTTCTCCAGCGAACATCCACCATCAACAGCCCTCCCAAACCATGTTTTATGAAGTTTTGAGCGGTTTTAGAGAAAATGTTTTTTTGACCTTTGGCCTTTGCCCTGCGACACACACAAACGAATTTCCGTTTTTTGATCACTTTTTTTCGACATGACCCTCCTTTCAGGCGAGGGAATAATTCTTCTCTTATTGATGGAAACGTGAAGGAATATGATCATAAAAATCAAATCAACAAAAGCTATCTTATCATTTTTCACGCATAGATGCCATGGATTATGATGAACGCAATGATAATGTGCCTAACGATGAAAATGATAATGAAGAAAATTTTCAAATTCAATCTGTCGAAAATGAAAATGGAAACGATTTCGTGCTAGTTAACGGAAGGATTGATTATCAGTATCGATCAGGAACTCTCGATAATGTGTGCTTATACGATTTTGTTAGCGCATTTTATAAAAAAAAGATTAACGCGTCTGATTTAAAATATGTAGCTGATAGCTCTATAGGAAGAGAAGAGCAGGATA